TATCAAAGAAATTGTATAATAACATTATTTTTTCCGAAATGCTCCAACAACAAAAAACTGACTGCATTTATACAATGATTAACCTGGACGGCCAACTGCACCAGTTATCATGCACGTCATCTGAACAAGACCTAGGCGTTTTTATAACGAGTGACCTAAAAGTTAAAAAACAAGTCTGTGCGGCTGCATCAGCTGGCAACCGAATGCTTGGCAGGCTCAAGAAAGCTTTTCGAGGTCGAGGTTCTGCATTATGGGGCATACTGTATATTTTGTACGTTCGTCCACACCTAGAATTCGCAGTACAGGCCACCGTTTTTAGCTCAAGACATTACCAAACTTGAGCAAGTTCAACACCAAACCACAAAACATATTGCCTCCCTTAAACACCTTTCGTATGCTCAAAGACTATCAAGCCTTAACCTGACAACACTAACTGAACGACGAGAAAAAAGAGACAATATAAAATCATGACTAAAATTGATAAAGTTAACTTTCACGTCCCTCAACTTCAACCTAACACGGAATATTCAAAGTACAGTTTTCGGCCGCGTGGACACACTAAAGAAACTGCGCTGAAAGAAGCAACTTCTTCACCAACCGTATTGTAAGATTATGAAATTCATTAACATAAAATGCGGTGGACGCAAAGAACTTGAACAATTTTAAACACGAACTTTCTCTGCTACGGTATCTTCAATTAGGCTGAAATTGAAAAACTGTATTTTCATAACAGAGAGGCCTAGTGTGCCACTCTTTGTCAAAAAAAAATTTGTAAATTTATTTTTGACCATGAATGAATAAACCTAACCTAACTTATATAATTGGAGTGTATGTTCTTCTTTTCAATCAATACCAATGCTACAACGCATTTAAAAAACCGACGTATTTAGAGGTAAAAATAAATGATAAAGCCGCACCAGGGGTCGGTGTTATATACATTTTGTGAAAAATGCTACCGACGGAATTTTTACTCTTTACAACCGTAAATTTAGAGTCGTAATATGTTTTTTAATTCAATGTTATAAAAATTTTTAGCATCAAACTTTGTAGATATCTAAATTTACTTTAAAAATTGTCCGTAACATTCTCAAGACATAAAAGGTTGTCAAAAAAAAAGTACTTTTGAGTTGAAGATTCAATAACATTTTGAACCATAGATTTCTACAACTAAATATATCTTTGGATCTACAACAAAAATTTTCTTAGGTCCTTCCTCCGGAACATTTTTCAACGATAAACGTTTCGACAGTAGAATTATTATCGCCAGTAATTTTTGAAAATATTTTATAAATTGACGAAAATCATTTACGCCGGTAAACTTTACCGCATGTAGTATTTCACGCCAGTAAAAAGTTTTATAACATCGACCTTAGAACCCTTGAAATTTGAATTATTTGAATCAATTTTTTAAATCAAAACCTTGTGGGTCCTGATGGTTTGCGTCGACTGTGTCCTTCTCTCACAGGACCTGCATCAACACAAAGTACCAATTAAGATGTGTTTTGTTTAAACGTTTTATTTAACGCACATTTTACGGTGTAAATGGTGTATTAATTAGTTGTTAAAATTTATGCAGTATGGTAATTTATGCAGTATGATTAATCCTTATTTTACAAAACTATTTATTTTTAAATTTATTAAAAGAATAGTATCCTTGAAATGAACAACAAAACTGTGAAATATGAAAAAAAAAAACAAAAAAACAAAAACAAAAAAAAAAATAGAGTTTTCAAAAAAGTTTGTAAATTCCTACTTATTGAGTAGATATTGGGTCCCCATATTTGGCCTATTTTATGAAATTATTTGTGGATGGAGTGAAATTGCTAATTTGAGGGGCAATTTAAGCAACATGAATTTGAGAGATGCAATTCTTTTTTATTTTTCTGCTACTCTGGATAGATTTCTAAAATAAAAATTCAATATGGTTACTCATTTTGTTGTGTATAAATCATGGTTCAAAACCGCTAAATTTGAATTTTTACTCGTACTTTGAGCATTAATATCTCTTAAGGCCATAATTTGCACATGAACCCTTTAATTGTTTTTGAAAGTTACAATAGCATAAATTAATTTTATACAAAAAAACTTTACATTGTTAATAATTAGCACTCTAATTAAGATAAAAGACATTTTTATTTTTCTTGTTTGCAAAAATCTTTATGCTGAGTAAGATAATCTATCATGTTATCATGGAAACTTCTTCTTAGAAGCCTATACATAGATTGTAAAGCAAAACAATTCTTCCTGAAAAAGTAGGATTACAATGAGCCATTGCGTAGAAAAGATCAATGTGATAGTGTCAGCAGGAACGAAATATATAATCAGGAGTTTTGGTGACGAAGGAAACCACTTATTAACTGCAAAAGATCTTTATGAGATACTTTATAATGATAAAAGAATTCAAAATGCTAATATTGCTGTAGTCAAAAAAGCTTGAAAGTCTCTATTTCATCTTGACCCAATCTGATTTCCAAAATAAGCAGCTACAATTCTCTTCAGTTTTTCCCTGATTACAAGTTAGATTCGGTAAAGATAAAAAATGGAACTATACAAATGTGACAATGCACACTTCAATTAGAATTGTTAAGTCCTTTAGTTCAACTTGCAAAAATTATGCTAGACCCACAAATTCCAAAAAATTACGTGTTGATAGAAGTATTAACACTCGCAAGTTTTGTACACATTTTGGTTGGGCTGAATCATTTTTTGATTATAAATCGTTAGAAGAACACATTTTATCAGAAAAACATAATTTTCATTCTGTGAAGAAATCTATGCCAGACAGAGCAAGACTTATATCAACAAAATGAAAATTTCAAAGCTAAATTCTTTTAATTATCTGCTATTATCCAAATCTGTCATTAAGAAGAAACTGAAAACTTTATAAATATCACTGGATGGATATTACCAAAAAGAAAAGTGTTCAGATATTCTTCAAAGCAAAAAACATTTATGTCTGGAGAAGAATGTGGGAAGAAAATGAGTCCTGAGTAGGTTCTCAAGCCGCTCAGGACAAAGTTATTCAATTAAAAGACAACTTAACATGTTTGATCATTATTCTCTAGGCAAGTAAATTAACTTGTATATTTACTAATAACAAAAGTATGTACTTAAAATATATGAAATGTGACTTTATTCTTTTCTTGGGACTTAAGATAAATGTTTCGCAACTTCCTTCATGCTTTAAGTATATTTTTTTAGATGGAGTAAACAAAAAAGAGCAGGAATGTTGGTAACCTTTTTTTTTGAAGAGGTTTATCTAACTGATAACGGGATTGATGCGATTGATCATGCAACACATGCAACTCAAAATAACATTGATGATTTAAACGACGATATTCAGCTGATAACAAAGGAGTTAGCTGCTGATTTTCAAATTGGTGATTAACTTGTTAATAAACATAATATGCAACAGTATCCTGCAATAATTCATAATTTAGGACTTTATAACACTATAATATTTTATTTTTGAGTATTAGTTCTGTTTTACTAAGATCAATAATTATCAATTTATTAATCACATTATTTAAATGTAAGAAATATTCAGGAAGCATCAATGATTTGAAGTTGTTTTATTTTTAACTCAATTATAAGATCAATGACAATGATACTTATGTTTCTCATATGGAGTATTTTACTGCACCTGGGAAAGGCTGCTTCAAGCAGGGTCGTCCTGAGGGGGAGACGTAGTGAGGTGTCTAGCCCCGCTACGAATTTTTTTAGTCGGCGAATTGTACACTAGAGTCGGCAAAATTGGGTTTGTAGTTGGCAGTTGGCAAATGTCGGAAAACAAGGATCTTTTTTTTTTTAGATAAGTTAGTGGGCAAAATATTTTTTATATTTAGTCGGCAAAAAACAGACTCGGCATTTCCCCCTTCCCTCCCCCCTTTTAAATCTCTTCGGGACGGCCCTGGTTTCAAGTGGCCATTTGTAGGATCGAAGCACCAATACTAACTAATCAAAGATTCTCTCTCAAAAGACAATAATAGCTTTTCTTTCTCCAAAGACAATATTGGCAATGTGGACAACTCAGTTTGGTCATTGATAAATTTCACTAAAACTTTATTTTGATTATATACTTGAAAAAATGTTTTTCTTATCAGCTTTTTATTGGAAAAAACGTTTATCTGAAATTTTTATCATTGTCTTAACAATGGTATAAACACTTCAAAGTGTTTGATGTTGGCTTTTTCTCTCATTGAAAAAACTTGGAAAAAAAATTTTATTAAGCAATCTTGCATAATTCCGTAATAAAAATGTTTTTTATCTTAATTTTATTTAGAGTGCTTGTTGTTAACGATGTAAAGAAGCCTTTGTTAAGCATATCTATACCGTTGCTAGAGTATTTCGTTAGTTCAAAATGTAGAAAAATAAGATTATTTCAAGACAATAGCGTAGGGAGAATTTTTTGGTGTTTGAGATAACTAACTTCCAGTTATGACCTTACAAAGTTTTTACATCGGTTAGGAAGGAGACCGAAAAATTCCTTGAACGGTCACTGATCTTTTAGACTTTCCTGATAGGTAAACTGACCGCAGTTCATCTAAATTTTAATGAACTGTCAAACTTTGCTCATCCGTTTTCTCATCATCCGGCCATTAGTAAATGGTAATGGTAGTAATAAAGTTCTGTGAACTCAACGGTAATTTAACAAGGGCCAACGACACGAGTTTCTAAGTGGGAAGGGGGGGCACAATCGTTGATTTCTCTCTATATCTAGAATTTTCTTAAATAAAGAAAAAAGTGTGGGGGGGGGCAGGGGAAGTACCCATGGCCCCCGGTGTCATCGGCCCTGATAACAATGGTTAGGGATCGTCCATAAATTACGCAAAGCAAAAAATATTTTAAGAACAGAAGTAGGAGATATTAAGCTCTTTAACGCAGCAATTTTCATTTAACTTAATTTCCTATTTTGATTATTTATTCAAATTAAGACTCAGCGAGGAAAAACTTTGGATCTTTTTTTGTTTTGTTTATTGTGAAATTTTGCGTTACGATCCCTTAACGATTTTGTTTGTAGCATCGTTAAGATTTCGTTAAAACGTTAATATTTAAATATAGTTATCGCTTCATCAATTTGTATTTTGCATATTGACCACGAGGCGCAAGTTTATGCACAAGGTTAGAAAGTTTTTTTTTTAAAAAAAAACAAGAATTCAAAAAAAAAAAAAAAAAAAAAATTATTTTATATTATAAAAATTCAAAGTAAAAAAAAAAAGCTATTATTTACCATCGCTGATGGTAAATAATTTTCTGTAATGTAATGTTGCTAACGTCATGTCATGTCAACACATGTCATGTTGCAAACATATTTACTCAAATCTCTATTTTTTCAACACCTCGTTATACCTAGACGTTTCTTGCTCAAACCTTAACTCTCAGTTACACATGCTAGAATTTTTTTGTTAACAAATTAACAATAGCTTAACAAAATTAAAAGTTTTTACAAAATCATTTACTCTTAATGATAACTCAATTATCATTAAAAGTAATTAAAAGTAAAAGAAATGCAAATAAGTAGATTGATTCTTTTTTCTGTACAGTTTTAGAATATTTATCATGTTATGGGTTTATTGGATAGTCTATTAGCTAGATGGAGAAGTCGAAAAAGAAGTGCTGATGATTCAAATGATTCAATTGAAAATAAAGATAAAAAGGTTGTTTTCAAATTATTTTAGTGCAATTTTTAATTTTATGTTTTGTGTTTGTATATATATATATATATATATATATATATATATATATATATATATATATATATATATATATATATATATATATATATATATATATATATATATATATATATATATATATATATATATATATATATATATAATTATTATTATTATTTCAAGAGAATTTAGTTGAAGCAGCTATTAAGAATCAGAGACCAGCCTGGTCTTCTTCCAATTAGCTAAACTTTTTGCAAGTCCTTTTCATTTTTACACCAGTATTAACTTAATTATATCATACAATCATACATAACATAATTACACCATCCATAATTTTTTGTTTGTGTGTTTATATATACTTTTATATACACTCATATACACTCATATAAAATATATATATATGTATATATATATATATATATATATATATATATATATATATATATATATATATATATATATATATATATATATATATATATATATATATATATATAAATATATATATATATATATATATATATATATATATATATATATATATATATATATATATGTATATATATATATATAAATAAATAAATAACCCTCAGAATTAGACCTGAAAGTGTTTTGACGTTGGCAAAAAATTGTCAATTTTAAATTATTATTATTTTTTTAATTATTTTAAAGACCAGAAAAAATTTAAAAACATTTTTGAAAATTTTTTTTTTTATTATTATTTGATAGATTGCCTGCCTTAACCAAACCCTTAGTCGATGTAGCGGCACTCCGTTGTGAGTCAGGTTATAATATAGTCGGTGTAGCTGCTCCCCCTTGTAGCCGCAAGATAAAAGATAGTCGATGTAGCAACACTTCCTTGTAGCAGCAGGCTATAAGATAGTTGATTTACCAACACTCTGTGCATGTTTTACAGTAAAAAAATAAAAATAAAAATATTCAGGGGTTGTCCATAAAGGACATTATTTAGAATTTAAATACTAACCAACATAAGACGCTATAATACTCTCAAAATATCTCTGCGCACAAGAGCCAAAATTCTCCTACTTTTTGCCATTTGTTACACTTGGTGATGTCCTTTAATGATGACCACTCAAAATGTTTTTATTTTATTTTTAAAAAATAAAATAAAAACATTCAGAATGTTTTTAAAAAATATGTGTTATATTAGAAAATTAATGTGTTTTGTTATAATTTAACCTTAATTTTGTCAGTTTAAATACCACAGACAATCAAAGAGCTGTTTTTTACCACAAACTGTATATCTAAACCCTTATATATATATATATATATATATATATATATATATATATATATATATATATATATATATATATATATATATATATATATATACATATACATATATACAGGCTTGGTCGGGAAGCGGGTGCAATCGCACTCGATAACTGACCACGGAAATAATATTTAGTTGCAAAAAACCGGCCAGATTTTTTTGTTGTTTTGAGAACATTCAAGTTTATGTATGTTTCCTTGTTTGTCTGCAAAATGATAAGTTCATTTTATTGTAAATTTCAAAATATTTTGTTTTACGGACTTATATAGAAACATATATAAACTAAAACATGTTAGTGCGGAAAAATAAAAAAGTAATATTCGCGAAAACAAAAATCCCGCCAAATCTACGAACAACTAATTCTATTAGTTTAAAAAATACTAACCGAAATTTCTAGTATATTAAAGAAACACTAACCGAATGTCCTGAGTAATCTGTTGAAATATTTAAAAAAATTGTATTATTTGAACTTTGTTACGTTTACGTTGAGATTTCTAACATAAATTATTTTAAGAATATACTATCAAGCGAACTATTACTTTAATTCTTGAAACCACATCTACAAAAATATAAATGTTTTAAACTAACATTTGTTTAAATAATAAATGTTTTAAATTTATATTTATTAACTTGTCAACGTTTTGTAAATATATTATAGATTTTATTAGTATATTCTAATTTTTTATATATAAGGGATGTATTTTTTATGTATGTAATGTATTAAAATTATTAAGCCCACTCACTAAATATTATCAGCGGTATTGTAAAACAGTTCCGCTTCCTCCTCACAAAGTAGTTTAACGTTTTTAGTTAATTTCTATCTAACTAATTGAATTTCTACAGTAACTCCATGATTTGTTTATTTCATTTTTTCATCTTACTAAGAAGAATTGTTTCAAATGTGTTAAACTTTTTAAACTAACCGTAGCTTAAATCAGTTATTGAAAAAACTTTTTTTATTTATAAATAAATCATCTAGAGTTAGTTTTATTGATTGAATTATTTAGGACATTTCAGGGCTGGGGCTGCATTATTTTGGCAGCCTTTTTTATGTGCCACAGCGTAAAAATGACTAAAAAAATAACGAATGGTCCTCTTGATTATTTCCCATAACATTGTGACTCCCAGGGCTACAGCCTTACTACCCCCACCCCACCCACCTCAATCCAGCACTGGAAATAAAACGTAAGTATATAAATAAAAATTATATATACTCATTGATAAATCGAAGAACATTTGTTTCTTTATAGTTGTTTCTGTATATAAAAATGTCGCTTAATTTTATTTAAAAAAATATATAAAAGAGCGACGTTTTTAAAAAAATTGCTCTAATAAATTTGATTTGCTTAAAGTTTTTTCGCGTTAAATGCTATTTTTCTTTTTTTAACTGTCTCTCATAGGTCCAGTTAATCTTATTGCGCTTTTTTGTTTGTTTTTGAAATGTTTTCAAAACCACTGAAAAATCTGGCTGGTTTTTCGTAACTAAATATTATTTCCGTGGTCAATTGTCGAGTGCGATCGCACCCACTTCCCAACCAAGCCTATATATATATATATATATATATATATATATATATATATATATATATATATATATATATATATATATATATATATATATATATATATATATATATATATATATATATATATATATATATATATAGATAAATATATAATATAATTTTTGAAACTTTAACATCAAATAAGAGTACTTTCCTTAAGATTTCAGACCTATGTATTTTGCATGATTCTAAATCAGTATAATGTATGTAATATTCTATCAATCATGAAAACATGGTGGGGAAACTAGAGTATAGGCTAAATGCTTACTTTGATCAGTCTGATGTCAAAGTGAAATAGGGAGCTGTTGAGGGCTTCAGTACATACATGGACTGACTAAATAGGCAGATCAGGCAAGCGTGTTTTATTAACTAAGGATTTAGGTTAGGGTAACAATTTTTTTCTTCTTCATCCATAAAACTGTTGTTTTTTTTTTTTGTACTGTACCTGTATACAGCGTTGTTCAAAGGTGGTAAATTCACAAAGATATCACTTTCGTTGCATAATGTTGAACTTGTTCAAATTTATCAATATCTTCTTTGGAATGTAATAATCAATATCTCTTTTAAGATGTGGCTTGCACTGTGAATTAAAGTTTTTGTAATATTTTATGTTTTAATTTGGAAGTATATTTTTAATGCATATTAGTTATTATTATTGTTTAATAATTATATATTTTTATTTGATAATTTTATTACTTTTTAATTAAAAATTATTTAAGTAATATATAATTGTTATTCATCTATAGGCTACAGCTATAGCTTTGACTGATGTAGCTCTAGATGCAGCAGAGTCTACATTAATTAAATTTAATTGAAATAGATGCGTTCCAGTTTATATACATTAACTAATACATCATCAAATGAATGTACTTTTATTGAGAAAAAAAAATTATATGAAATTTGAAATCTGTTGATGGATTTTAATTAAGTTTAATAAAACACACACACATTCACACACTATATATGTAATGTATAAAATATTATATATTTATATATTTTTAGACTGGTATGCCCAAAAATATCTGGATACGTCACTGTATATATATATATATATATATATATATATATATATATATATATATATATATATATATATATATATATATATATAAAACAACATTTTTTTAAATAATCTGCTTGAAAAAAATCCGCTTATGTTGTTGTTTTTATGTTTTTTTATGAAAATTTAATAAATTAGTTAATTTTTTTTTGAAATGAATATAATTTTTGAAATTTTTATATGATTTTGCTTCATTTGAGTAACAGGTTGACATATTTTTAAAAAATGTATTTTTTGAAAATATTAGGAACCCATTAAACATTCGAGGGTCTTAGGGGACCCCTTAAAATATTTTTAATTCAAAAAAAATTTAAACCTAATGTTTTTGTGTAAGATAGAATTTAAGGGGTGAGAGCAGATTATTTTCGAAGATTTTGTTTTAAGGGACAACCTAATATATATGTGTGTGTGTTTTCTACCGCGTCAAAATCTTGCACTTTAAACTTTATCTTTTATCTTCCAGTAATTTCCAACTCTGATAGTGGTTGCTAGCAGCTTTGTTGGAAGTGAAGATGTTGAAGGAAAAAAAAAACTTGAAACATTTAAAAATTAACATAACACCTGAAAAATTAACCTTTATCACAATTTTACATTTTACATGATTTTAAATGTTTTCCTAAATATTTTAGTTAAAGTGACAAAAAATTAGAGAGTGGTTTTTTCTAAAACAGAAAAAAAAGGTCTAATCTAGATAAATTTATTACTTATAAAACAGTAGTTATGAAAAAAGAAAAGAAAAAAAAGATATTAAGTTGACAGGCATTATTTCTTGGTGGCGAAATGAGGTTTTAAGATGGACTGTTAAGGTACATAAATTTAATTTTGATATTTGCAGTGATATTTCATCTCTGTAACCATGTATGCCCACTAAAATGATTCATACTTACATGCAATAAAATCATTTAGATTTGGTACAATCACTACATCAGGTACTGCTGCTTTTGACTGTATAAATCTCTCTTCACATAAATGCTTGCATGTTATTTTAAAACTAATTTCAAAGTTTGAAGTAAATATGTAATGATGGTAATTTCTAGTCTCTGGAACAGTTTTTCTCATATCAAGTCGTTCTTGTAGTTGTTGTCATTTTGCTGTTGCTGTTTTGGTAATTTTATAAAATTTAATTATTTTTATCAGCAGTACAAAACTCAAGCATATCAGTTAATTTTTTTTGTTAAACCAGAACTTTTTTATTCATGTTAAAAGTTAATAAATATAAATATATTAAATATTATAAATATATATGATTTAAATAAATAAAAAGCTTTATTTATTTAAAAATAAAAATAAATATAATTTCTTATTTATTTTTATTTTTAAATAAATTTTCATTTAATTGTTCAGTATAAATTTATTCAGAAATTATAACATTTTTTTGAAATTTAATATCAGAGTTTACAAAACTAAAAAAAAGGAAACAGAAAGTCAACAGCAAGTAAATTTCTTATGACTGAAACTGTTAAATGTAGATGAAATCTTTAGTGGTGTAAAAATGAGCATAATATGAGACTTAAAATTGCATATCCTGTATGTTTTCACATGGAATTACCCTTATGTGAACTTAGATATAGACATTTATATTATATATAGATAGATGGTTACTTTAAACTATAAAACCTCAACTTTTTGAAATAAATTGTGATCAGAGTATGCTGCAAAAAAAAAAAAAATTAAGTGGAGTTATTTTAAAGTTTTAGTTTTTTAAAATGCACTCTATTTTGATTATTTAACCTTAATCTAAATAAATAATACTAATCGAATAGAAAAATGTAAATAATAAATAAATACTAATGATTTGTAGAGACCTCGCACTGAAAGCTATACTTTGACACCAGACAGCAAAAATAGCAGTGACGCTAGTAACAAGTTAGTATACTATTTTTTCAAATAATTTTGTTATATGTTATATTTTATTGTTATAAATTTTACTTAAATTTATTTTTTTTACTTCAAATTTTAATTTTAGATCTTAAATTTTTTTAATTTTATTCATAACAAGGCCTGATATAACATGCTATGAAGTATTTTTAAATAGAAACTCTTAAAAAAATGCACTATTCTTATGTAATATTAAAAATTAATGAAGATTAATTAAGAGCTATAGGACCTTATATTTATATATGACATTAAAATTCTTTGATTGAATTGTATTACTATGAGTAATAGTATTAGATAAAAATTTGTTTAAAGTTTAAAAGTGGTATAGCATTTAAATTTTACTTCTTTAGTATAAAAGTGACTAGGGTAGTAGCAGGTAGTATTTTTCTTAGTTTATCTACAAAAAAAAATATTAGTAGGACATTCCATTTTGCCTTAAATGTTACTTTTAGCTGTTGGATTCCAAAATTTCAGAAATAAATTTCATTTTCTAGTAGCTTCGACAGGCTATGTGTTGTTTCATTAATTTTTAGAGATTGTGATTATTACTACTATGGTCATCGTGTAAGTCAAACTGAATCAAGGACATATGAATTTAAAGCTGGAGGTGTCCTGTTTGGTCGTGAAATTAACCAAGTAAGTCATTTTAATTTGAGCTTTTAATTCAAAATTTTTTTAACTTTTTACGTCACTATGCTTTAAGAATATATGCATTTAAGTAAGTGACCAGGGCCCTGGCTAAAAATCAGACTTTTTGCAAACCCAGCCCTGGCAAAATTATAAGATTTAGCAGGGGTTGATAGCTGGGGCTAGAAAAAAAATTTATAATACTTTTTGTATTATAATTTTATATTTACATTTACTATTTATTTCATTCTGGCATATATTTATATATTTTTAAACTCTAATTTACTTTCAACAAGATTGCAAGCAACCACTATTAAGTTATGAGTTACTTAGAAAAAGGTTAAAATACTAGAAAATGATTAACTGAAGATTTGCAGTTGAAAGAAGAAAGTTGTAAGTTGTATAAAAAGGAAAACATGAAGATGGGTAAAAGTTATAAGGTTTTTTTGATGTTCAAGGAAAAAAACTGGATTAATAAAAGTTATTATAGCATGAAAGAACAGATACAGTAAAAGGATCCAACTTGTTGAATAAAAAGCCAAGCTAGAATGAGTTTTGGTTTATCTTAATAGAGATAATAGCTTGTTCGAGCGTTGACCATGAATGTATTTGTAGAAAAAATAAAACAAATGCAACCTTACAACAATAGTAGAGTGGTTTAAGCTTGGCAGATAAAGCAGGTCTAACTACATTTACAATGTGCTTTTAAACTTTGTCTGAGAATAAGAGGGCACAATGGTCCAAATGGTGGACAAAATGAAAAAATCTATATTTCGGGACTAAAATTTTTTTATGATTTTTTGAAACTACAATGAAATTTGAGTTAAATGGAAAAGATTAGAGGTCATTATCATGCATGGTTAAGAAATGACAACCTTTCAAAGTTTTAAAAAACATGTAAAAAAATGTTAATACCGCAGAGTTAGATTTTTCATATACATTTTCTAATTTGAATTATATGCAGCAGATTTGACATTTATGTTTATATGCAGCAGATTTGACATTGAATTATATGCAGCAGATTTGAATTATATGCAGCAGATAGACAAAAATGAAAAAAAAATTTCATTTCTAGCAAAATTGAATGAACAAAATAAAAGTATTAATTTCATTATTTTTTTTTAACGTTATTAATAAAAAAAATTTATTTCTTTTTAAAAAAATTAAATGGAAATGTCAGTTTCCACAAAAAAAAAATCTCTTAAATTTTGTATACTTTCTCAAATATCTCAAAAACCGGAGATTTAGTAATATTAAACCATATATTATTTGGAATCTTCATACTGTTGCCATTAATTTGGTATGTCACGTATATTTACCAAACACCCGGTTTTTAAGTTATTTGTGGTTATAAAAACTAGTTTTATTGTTTCTTTAAGCATAATGCACTAGATATTTTATCTAAATTTCTAAAAAGACTAAAAAGAATATAAACAAATGCTCAAGTTTAATTTTTTTATTTTACATAAACAAAGTGTTAACAATGTCATTTCATGTACTTTGAAACATGTTTTTTTTTTCTATGCCCTATCTCACTACACAATTTGCATTGTATTCGACCTTTGTTCATTTGCTCGGTAACTAAAGGGTCAGAACCCACCCAGAGTCTTTTAAAACAATCTTCTAAGTTCTGCAACTGATTTGTTTTTCTTGATAGTTTTTCTCTAAATATTCTAAGTTGTTTGTTGTTGGCCTCCATGCCTTCCTCGCTCCATGATTTAAGTCCTGTGTCATTATTTAACTCAATAAGCTCCCAAGTATGTCTTAATAACTTATGAATAGTCTGTGTCAAACTAACCTAGGGCATTTCTTGTCAAAGAAGAATGTTTGTCTTCTTACATTGTTCCCATATTAAGTTGTTTCCATCTGCATTAGAGTTTAAAAGTTTCAGTGGGCAAAACATTGCCATGATTATATTATTGGTATTTACATTGTGTAGCTGATTATACATTTTATGTCCTCCACTGCCATCATATCCAAATTTAATTTCTAGAACTAAATTTTTTAGGTTGTTGAACTGCCTAAATGTATTTGTTAAAACTAACTCTGAATGTTCGTCAATGTCATTTATATTCTCTAACATTTTAAACACTGTAATTAATGCTTGTGCTGAATTAACATTGTTATCTAATATTATTTTAAAAACTTCTTGTTCTGTATAGAAAACCATATTGAACAGAGAAATTACCAGAAACAAAGTAATACACTTTTACTAAAAGGTTTTTTTAACGTGTTCAGTGTTTAATGTTTGTTCTTATTCTGAATTTAATAATTTTATTGTAAAAAGCTTTAAGCCATTTGGTGACGATTATGTGGTTAAACAGTTTTTATTGTTAATTATTGTTAATTGGTATCCGGCCTTGTATGGAATACTGTTGCCATATCTGGGGCGGATCTTCTAATGATGCCCTTTCTTTAGACAATCTTTAGACAAGGTGCAAAAATGCATTGTAAACATAGTTGGACCTGCTCTTGCAGCCAACCTTCAATCTCTGTCACATCGTTGTAATGTTGCTTCTCTTTCTCTTTTCTACAAATACTGTAATGGGCACTGCTCTAAAGAGCTAGCGTCTCTTGTGCCATCTACTAAAATTCATTCTCGTGTTCCTTGTCATTCGATTAAGTCTCATCTTTTTTCTGTTACTGTTCCTAAGTGCTCCAAAAGCTCTTACTCGTCTAGTTTTTTTTCCTCAAACATCAGTTCTTTGGAATTCGCTTTCTTCATCTTGCTTTCCTGATTCATATCATTTGCAATCTTTTAAATCGTCTGTCAATCGTTATCTTGCTCTACAATCTTCATCTTTTGTCTTCCAGTAACTTCCAACACTAATTAGTGGTTGCTTGCAGCCTTATTGGAAGCGAAGATGTTTAAAATATATATATATAATATATATATATATATATATATATATATATATATATATATATATATATATATATATATATATATATATGGGCAATAAATATATGGGCAATTTATATATAAATTTATATATAAATTGCCCATATATTTATATGGGCAATTTATATATAAATATAGCAATTTATATATAAATTGCCCATATAAATATATGGGCAATTTATATATATATTTATATATATATATATATATATATATATATATATATATATATATATATATATATATATATATATATATATATATATAAATATATGGACAATATATATATATATATATATATATATATATATATATATATATATATATATATATATATATATATATATATATAAATGTATGTATATATATATATATATATATATATATATATATATATATATATATATATATTATATATATATATATATATATATTGGCAATTCCGTGAGAAAGAGGAAAAGAAAAAAAAAAAGTTAGAAAGACACATACTAACCTCAATAAACTCTTTTTTTAACTATTTAAAAATACTTTTAAGCAAAAAAGTTATTTAAAAAGTTGTTTTATCATACCATAGGATGGCTTTGAAGTTGTAAGGGTTATATAAACGTTTTTTGACGTTTTTATATAGTCCTATTGTGAAGCGTTAAAAAAGGTTTCAATGCTGCGTTTTTAAGTAACTATTACTTCTAAGTTTGACTTGAAGAATAAATAAACATTATGTAAATCATTTTTTATAAAAACGCACTCCAACTATGTATAGAATAAGAATATATTTATCAAATTAATGCGTTACGACCGTCTTGAAAAAAAGTCGAAAAGTTTTTTCTAGGCTTCGTATTAGACTTTATAAAACTAAAAATAAAGTAAAAGTAAATATGCTGATATAAGTTTTATCATCGTTTCAATTTTTTTTTAAAAAGAGCTTCAGATGATTGTATTAAGATGTAAACAAAGTATGTTACGACCATCACGATATGCTTGTTTTCCCATAACGGCTTCTTGACTTTTGAATAAAAAGTTTAAGCGAGAACGATTTTATTATTGAAACCAAGTTACAAATCAATTTCGTTTGATTTTCTGTTTGTTTACTCCATATATTGATAAGCTTGTTAAAGTTTTTCCTATTTCTTTTTTAAAATATACATTACTTATTTTAAATAATTACTGTAAATAAATTAATATTTGTAAAGAAATAAAAACTTTTAACATGAAGAAAACTTTTTTTTAGTTTAAACGTTGTTTTTAGTTTGCATTGCAACTTTTTTGTTCATTAGATTTCGCGTTTTTTTATTTATAAAATTTGCGGGGTTTTTTTTAACATAACAGAATGAAAATCTAAAACGGAAGCTGTCGCATTTAACAACATTTTTAAAATGCCTAAATCAGATGCAGAAAGATCAAAAGCTTATAGAGCAAGAAACAGACAAGTGCTGTTGGAAAAAGAAAGAAAGAGAAGTTATCAAAGGAGACAGTTATTAACACCAAGAAAAGAAAACAAGCAAAAAAATCAAGCGAAAGTTTGTAACCGAAGGTTAAGAATGAAAAAAAAACTTGAATTTACTGCTAACACTAGTTTGAATGTTACGCCTGATAATTCTTATAACTGCAAATCGTCAATGACAAAAGCATTAAACAAGTATTTAATTATATTAAACTATATTTTTTAATGTTATTGCTTTCGCATAATTTGGGTTTTTTTATATTAAATAAAATTTTTAGAACAAAACAGGCTCTTCCAAAGTCTCCAAATAAAAGACGAACTATTGTAGAGCAATTAGGTGCTGAATATGGCTTATGCACTACTGAAGAAATCACGCGAGTTCGCATCACATCAGAAGAAATTGAAAAAGTAAAAGCATTTTATGAAAGAGAAGATATATCAATAATGTCTCCTGGAAGAAAAGATTATATTAAAATTGACAGAGAAAAAGTTCAAAGGCGCTATTTAGTTATGAATTTAAAGGAGCTGCACCATTTTTATTGTGAAGAGGGTGCCAGCAAAAACGTTAAACTAACTAAATTTTGTGAACTAAGGCCAAGATACATTCTTACATGGAAAAACGCACCACTTGAATCATGTGGTTGTGTTTATCACAGTAATTTTACT